GTGCCCATTATCAGCTGATTTCTGAAAAGAAACCTTGCAGGCAAGAAGGGGCTCAAAAGAAGTATTTGAAGTTATGAAAGGCAAGGACCTACACCCAAGACTGCTCTATCCAGCAAAGCTATCCTTTAGAATGGAAGGGCAGATAAAGTGCTTCCCAGATAAGGTCAAGTTAAAGCAGTTCATCATCACCAAGCCCTTATTATATGAAATGTTAAAGAGACTTATCTAAGAAAAAGAAGATTAAAAATATGAACAGTAAAATGACAAGAAACTTACAACTATCAACGAATGAACCTAAAAAAAAAAGAAAAAAAAAGATAAACAAATAGAATAGGAACAGAATCAGAAAAATGGACATCACACAGAGGGATTTCAGTGGGGAGGGGGAAGGGAGGAAGCGGGGGAAGGTACAGGGAAGAAGCAGCATAATTGGTAGGCATTAAATAGATGGGGAGAGGTCAAAAATGGTATAGGAAACAGAGAACTCAAAGAACTTATATGTATAACCCATGGGCATGAACTAAAGTGGGAATGCTGGAGGGTTGGGAGGTGCAGGGTGGAGTGGGGATAAAGGGAGAAAAATTGGGATAACTGTAATAGCATAATCAATAAAATATACTTAAAATATTAATCAAAAGAAAATAGTGGCTATATTAATGTAAGACAAAGTAGACTCCAGAGCAAAAGATATTACTGGAGATACACAAGGCCATTAAAGGTTAATCCAGTACAAAGATATGTTAATTCTAAATGTGTATACATCAAATAGAGCTGCAAAATATGTAGAGAAAACTGATAGAACTGAAAGGAGAAAGAGACAAACTCACAATTATAGTTGGAGACTTCAACATCCCACTCAACAATTGATAGCACAGCTAGACAGAGAATTAACAAAGATGTAGAAAAACTCAATACCATTAACCAAGAGGATACAACTCATACTTACACAACATTTCACCCAATACCACAGAATACCTTTTATCAAGTGCCCATGGAATCAATATCCTGGGTTTACATAAAACTAGCCTCAACAAATTTAAAACAAATGAAACCATACCAAGTGTGTTCTCTGACCACTGATGAATCAAACTAGAGATGAGTAACATAAAGGTAACACGTAAATTTTGAAACATTTAGTAAATAAACATTACATTTCTAAATAATCCATGGGTCAAAGAGAAAGTGTCAAGGGGAAAGGTAAAATCATTGAACTGAATGAAACTGAAAATACAACATATCAAAATTCGTGTTAACTGAGCTAACTCAGCGCCAAGAGGAAAATTTACAGCACTAAATTCATACATTAGAAAAGAAACCTCAGATCAGCCATCTAAGCTTCTACCTCAAGCACCTAAAAAGGAGCAAAATAAACCCAAAACATGTAAAAGGAATAGACTACGGGAGAAAAATCATATGGTGTTACTTGATGCAGAAAAACTACCTGACAAATTCAACACCCATTCATGTTTATAACTCTCTGAAAATTAGGAAAAGAGGGGAACTTCCTCAACTTGACAATGAGCCTACACAGACACCTGCGCTGCAGTTAATAGTGAAAGACTAAACGCTTTCCCCTAAGATTGTGAGCAAGCAAGATGTCGGCTGTCACTGCCCTTACCATACTGCTGGATGTTTTACCCAGTGCAGCAACAGGGCAAGAAAGGAAATAAAAGGCATACAGGTTCTAAGGGAAGAAAATAAAACTGTCCCTATTTACAGATGACATAATTGCAAATGTAGAATATCTTAAGAAATTCCTAGAACTAGTAAAATCAGCAAGGTCACAGGATGGAAGATAAATTTTAAAATATCACTTTCTATATGCTTGCAGTTAACACATGGACACTAAAGTTAAAAAAATGACGATGAAATGGGGACATCGGTCCATGGATGGGAAGACTCAGCTACATTAATCACTACCATGTGGTGCTACTGGTGGAGGGGCAGACACACAGATCAACAGAATAGAACAGGGAACCCGGGAACAGAATCACACAGATATATCCACCTAGTTTTGGTAAAGGTGCTGGAACAATTCTATGTCCACAGACAAAAATTTAACCTCAAACTGCCCCAACCAGTGTAGCTCGGTTGGTTGGGTGTTGGCTCACAAAGTGAAAGTTCACTGGTTCGATTCCAGTCAGGGTACCTGCCTGGGTTCCCAGCCTGGTCCCCGGTAGGGGCGCTGGCAAGACAACACATGGATGTTTCTCTCCTTTCTTTCCCCCTCCCATCCCCTGGAAGAATAAATAAATAAAATCTTAAAAAAACAAAGCCTTTTTATAAAAATAATTTAACCTCACACTAGGTCTTTCAGAAAATTTATATAAAAATTAATTCAGCCCTGGCTGGTGTAGCTCAGTGGATTGAGCGCGGGCTGCGAACCAAAGCATGGCAGGTTCGACTCCCAGTCAGGGTACATGCCTGGGTTGCAGGCCAAGGCCCCCAGCAGCCGTACATTAATGTTTCTGTCTCTCTCTCTCTTTCTCCCTCCCTTCCCTCTCTAAAAATAAATAAATCTTAAAAAAAAAAAGAAATACAAAGGCAAGTAACACACAAAACTCTTTAAAAAATTAATTCAAAATGGACCAGAGACTTAAATGTAAAACATGAAAATATTAAAACTTTTATAGAAAAATAGAAAATCTTTGAGCTTTAGGACAAGGGATTCTTAAACCTGACATCAAAGACAAAGAGCTGACAAAGAACTAGTAACTAGAAACTACAAAGAAATCTCAAACTCAACAATAAATGCACAAACAATCCAATTAGAAAATGGTCAAATGACATTACATGACATTTCATCTATGGAGGAAATACAGACAGTAAATAGGCACATAAAAAGATCTACATGATTAGTCTGTTAGGGAAACACAAAACCAGTGACAGAGCATTATACACCCATTAAAGTGAATTTTAATTTAGCCATTAAAGAAACATAGTGACAATACCAAATACTAGTGAGCACGTGGAAAGCCTGGATAGCTCACATATTCCCAGGGGTAAGGTAGAATCGTATCACCACTCTGGTAACAGTATAGCAGTGTGTTACAAAATTAAACATCTAACACGTGACCCAGCAGCTGCATTCCTGGGCATTTATCACAGACAAATGAAAACTTATATTCACACAAGAACCTGTGCATGAATGTTTATAGAAACTTTATTTGTAACAGCCAAAAACTGGAAACCACCCAGTTGTTCTTAAATGGGTGAATGGTTAAGTCGGTGAACCATATGTGGGACACTATTTAGCTATTAAAAGGAATGAGGTATTGATACACACAGCAGCCTGGACAAATCTCTGAGGAATTTTGCTGAATGAAAACAAAGAAACAAAAACAATCCCAAAAGGTCACATACTGTATAATTCCATTTATACAACATTCTTTTTTTTATATATACAACGTTCTTGAATAAACAAAATTACAGAAACAGAGAACATACTAGTGGTTACCAGGGGTTAAGGAGGGGTCGGGGTAGGAGAGAAATGGGTGTTGCTATAAAAGGCAACATGAGAGACTTTTGTGAGGGAAATAATCTGTATCTTGACTGTATCAATATCAATATCCTGGTTGTGACATTGTACTATAGTTTTTTAAGATGTTACCATTGTGGAAAACTGGGTAAATGGCACAAGTGATTTCTCTATTTTTTCTTACAACTGTCTGTGAATGTACAATAATCTTAAAACAAAAAGCTTCATAAGAAAGAAGAGAGATTGTCTAGCTTTGTAATCCCTACCAGAAGAGTAAAATACAGTGTGGTAGATATTAGCAAACACTCACTAATAGAGTTCTTTTGGCTTATAATTCAGAACAGTCTGAAAAGATCCAAGAACTGGTAAGATAACTTTTGTGGAAGTAGGCATTAAATGAAACACACTGTTTTTTTGAAATTTAAAAAAATACACCGGCGATAAAACACACATTAAGGAACTTCGTTTACCAGTAGGCTTTAGCTGACAGCACAAAAGGGCACCCATAAGACCCTGGCCTTCCGAATTACTGAGCTGTACCACGTACTTGCTGTAGTTCAGGACAGGCAGCAGCCTGAACTTTCTACAACTCACACCAAAAAGAAAACATCTGACTCCTTACTTATAAATACCTAGGAAATTGACATGTTTGCTAATTACGATGCCAAAAATCCAGTTCTTTTTCCTATTCTTATCTTTGTATCTCTTCAGGTTAAAATTCATATGTAACAACTTTTACAACCAGAGGTTGGAGGCAGAAAGTATGACATCTTTGAATGTTCTGTAAGTTTCAGAGATGGTTATCACTCTACTGACTTGCCCAGTTGCCCCTTAGTATATAACCCAGGGTGGCAAATAATGGTTATTTGAGAAGACATAGGTGAGCAATGCCCCAGTGGTATTGGTGTGAATCTTCTTTATTTAAAATTATTTTCTTGGTATTATCTTTAACATGCAGTTCTTAACAGTAATATATTTCCTTAAAATGAAGTAAAATTTATCAAATTATAAAATACAATCTATTTCTTGAGAATTTGGAAAATAAAAGAGAACTAGTTCTACTACTCAAAGACCATTGCATTAACATTATGGTTTCCTTTTCTTTAGAATCATTCAGTTATATATTTTATTTTTCAAATGTCTTCCCAGACCTACAACTGAACTCAAGAGCTAAGTCAACAATTTTCTTAAGTCTGCCTAAATTTCTAAAGCTCTTCTCTGTAGTCATCAATACAGGCATACCTCATTTTATTGTGCTTTGTTTTATTGTGCTTCACAGATGTGGTTTTTTTTAAAAATTCAAAGCAAGACCCTCCACCAGCAAAAAGATCACGACTTCCTTTATTTCAGAGGTCTGGAACAGAACCCACAGTATCTCTGGAGTATAGGTGTGTCAAGCTTACAGTGTATATAATGGTAGGCAACTGTTCCTAGAAAATACTGAAGATGACTGAAGAAGTGATTTGCAAATTTATTTGCTACTGTCATATCTTGTAAGTCTTTTGGTATTTTTTTTTTGCAGGTATTTAATCATAAATTATGCTGACTGACAAACTCTAACAGCCAAGCAAACCACTGATGGCAAGAACAGGCAGTGGCAATGTGACTGCCCTTTTACTTGGTCCTAGTTTCCAGATACTACAGCCAATGTTTGTTATTGTAGAGGTAAACATGCATTGAGGGGGTACCTTTTGATTATATTCCTGAAACCTGGAGATGGAGGGAGGGAGTAAGCAAGTTCCTGAATCCCTGGCTTAGGTCTTGGGAATGATTACAGCAATGCTAAATTACTTTTGTGCCAAATCAAATATATCATAAAACCAGGGAACTTAAGAGTAAAGGGAGATCTTATCAGCCATCAGGCTCAAACCTTTTCTGATGCATGAGTTTCCTTTCTGTTCTGGAAAAGTAGTTGTCCAACTTTTGCTTGAATGACTCCAGTGAGGCCTGATTTCTTATCTGAAAAATGATGGGATTACAATGACTGGGAGACCCCTTCAAATGCTAATATCTATTTGACGAAATCTAAACTTCTGTTGGCTAGATCATTTTTAAAAAAGCCTCTTCCTTAGATTTATTGCAATCATTTTGCAACATACATAGATGTGGAATCATTATGTTGTACACCTGAAACTAACAGTATTATATAGAAAGAAAAAAGCCCCTTCCTTTTCAATAAGTGAAATTAGTTTCCTCAATCTATTCTGAGGTTACAAATATTTAACATGCTACTATATGTATTCAAAAATACATAATACCCTTACTTTCCAGGTAGTAAGTATGTTCAGGTGAACATCATAGAAGAAAAACAATTCCCAGAAATTTCTGGATATATATTAAAAAGAAATTAACAGACTATAGGATATGATGGGGGAGATGTCCTCCCTCTTTACAAAAAAAAATCATAAGCAGATTGGTACTAGGCCTGGAGCCAAATTTCTAGTTCTGTTAAAATAGTGAAATGATTCTTCTGATGTCCTTGGCTTCTATCACTAACCTGGTACTTGCATGATTGGTACTGATCATTGGTAATCTTGTGATTCAGGCAAAGATCATGAATGGATCATAAAACCACTGGGTGATAGGTTGCTGGGAAACAGGATATATCCATGGTGTCAGAGCATCTCCAGAGGTTACTTATCACAAAAGGAAAGCTGTCCTTCCATAGCGGAAAGATCAGACAGTCATCACCTGAAACAAGTGATTATACCTAGCATCACAAACACAATAGACAAAGCTTCACCTATGTGGTATTCTTGCCAAAAATGGATGGTCTGACTCTGATCATGAGGGAACAATTAGGAAAATCCACCATATGGGACAATTTGTAAGCCTAGACTGGAGGACTGTTCTAGGTTAGGAAAGAAAAGGGTCCTGAGAACTTTGTGAACTTTGTAAATACAATTGTGAACTTTGGATCCTGAATCAAAAAAGAAACATCTTTAAGTAAAAAAAAAAAAGACATTTTGAGATAATTGGAGAAAATCTGACTATGTTGTCATTTTAGGAATGATAATGTTATCCTGGCTGTTTAACAGACTGAAGAAATTAGGGTTAAAGGTCATGATGTCTGCAACTGACTTGCAAATGGTTCAGCAAAAAAACCTATGTCTATATATATAGAGAGTGCAAAAGAGACAGCAAATAAGGAAAAATGTTAACAATAAAACAATAACAAAAAAGAAAAACAATCTTGTGAGACATGTTTTTTGCTCCAGAGCTATCAGTGTCTTTTATTTGATAGTCAGATATTTAAATTGACCTGAACTAACTTGTTTGCTTGATAGAATTTAATAGGATTCCACCAGATGTCCCTTTACTTTACATTATTTACAGCACACTTAGGAAGTTATGTCTAATTAAATGGTAACTCATTAATCAGAGCAAAAAATTCTTTTGAAAAACTACTGTATACTGCTTCCGGTTTTAAAGGTTGGCTTCAAGTCTTAAAGGACAATCCTATGAACACTGGACTAAATGGGGGCAAGACTACTTGGATTTCAACCCAGTTCAAGTCATTATTCAACTGGTTGTAAAGACTGCCTATGCTCACACCTTAGAGACTTCTTTCACATCTAAGGTACACCTAGAAAATAAGGGAGTTAAATCGTCTCCAAAGTTTCTTACAGCTCTGACATTGTCATCTTATCTTTTAATTCACCTATATTATAAAGCAAATTGTGAACAAGCAGGTACTAACTACCTAAGAGCCCAGTAATGAAGTAGGAAATATAACTGAAATAAGACATAATTTGCAAAGAATTAAAAGGTTTTCTAAAGCTGAGACCTTAAGGTATTTTTTAATTCTAGGATTTCTTCTATGAAAGCAGACAGTATGAGATGTAAACCTAAAATGTGTTACTTAGCTTTTACATCAGGTTACATTTTTTGCTTTGATCTTTTCTAAAGCCTCTCGAATCGCCTAAAGGGAATCGTCTAAGTAGTGTGTCCTTGAAAATGAGATCGGGTAAAGATGTTGGCCCTGCAGTAAGTACCCAGAGTAGATTTTTCAGTTAAAGGAGGCTCTTCCTGCCTCTTAGCTCAAGGTCAAGGCGTGGATGCCTCTGTCTCACTGTCTCAGAACAAGACCCTAACTCCTCAAACCCAGGTTGGTGTGCCTCAGAGCCTCAAATTACGACCCTAGCCCCAGTGACACGGTCGCCAGGCAGGTCTCAAACCTGCTCTGGGGGGGTGGATGACCCGCTGCCCGGCTCCGCAGCCCTCCACAGCCCCACGAATATGCAGCGGCCTCATTCAGAGACCTGACACCTTTCTGGAGCGTAGCCTGCCGCCCCCCGCCCGGGAACCCGGGATTCTCAGGGCAGAGAAAAGAGACCATACTTAAGCACAGGCTCTCGCTTCCGACAACAGTACGAGGCTGGGGGGGCTGCGCTGCCAGTCGAGTCCAGGGGCAAGAGAGTCGGGGTCACGGCGAGCGGCGCAGCCGCTGGATGGCAAAGAACACGTGGGAGCAGCGTTGTCAAGCAGCCCTCAGACCCTTTGACGCCGATTCGTTATAACGAAGAGAACTTTAGAGAAAAAAGCCTATATTAGCCCATAACTCTAAAATTCCCAGAAATTAATTTTTGTGATTATCTCCTCAAATAGAGCTCCCCATTCATAATTTCCTCGCCAACAGTAACCCGAATCCGCCGAAACCTTTGAAAGACTAATTTACTTAATTTCAGTCCCCAACGGTCTCCAGGAATTACGCAGTAAACAGTCCCTAATCAATGCGAGTGGTTTTACCAGTTAGGTCAGGAGCTCTGTAGGTCTTCGATGAGTCTCCTTCGGGTTTCATCCAAAGTTTAAGTCTAGTAGGGCAATGTACTGCCTTAAAAAAAAATTCACACCTGTTTTAAGCCTCTAACGTTAGGCGTTTGTTTCCGCCCGGAAAGGGATAGGGGGAGCACCTGAGACTATTTAGATTTTTGGTTGGTTGTTTCGGACAATTTTCTAGGTGCGCATGCGTGTTGCATCTAAAGGGCGGGCTTAAAAGGAAGTGGGTGTTGACCCGCGGGCAACTGAAGCTGTTGTTTGAAAGCTGTGCGGTATTCGGGCGTTCTGGAGACTTGGAGGGGTGAATTCATGAGTCCGGCGGTTGCAACTGGGGGTTTGTGTGAGACTCATTGCCAGAAGAAAGCTATTAAGCTTCTTACGTGGGTGATGTTTTTTAAAAAATAGCAATTGGGTTTTACCCGCTTGGCTCCCTTTTCTCAACAAATCTTAACTCCGCCTCCACATCTGTTTGGTTTTGCCTTGCCGACAGCTCTCGGGTTGGGGAATGTACTGTTACCGTTATTATTGCTCATGCAGCCGTTCTCTTGATATCCTCGTTTTCAGATTGATTGGCATGGTGCATTAGTAGACTGAGTGGGATTAATGGGTAAAAATGGTGCTCTAGTCTCTATGCTGGATTAAAACCGAAATTAAAATGTCTAGCTTTGCGAATATTCTGTTTAGACGTTGTCTTTTTAAAAGTTGATGACTGCATATTTCAAAATTACTTGAAATTCACGTTTTCTCTATCACACCCCCTCCCCCGCCTTGCTTCTTATCCCACCTCCTCCCCAGTCCTTAAAGCTGTTCTGAAGTTTCATGGACCCAGGAAAACGTTCTATTCAGAACTACGAGACTAGTTTTATTACCACTAATACGAAAGTTCCTGAGGTTAGCCCGGAAAAGGAGAAAAAGGTTAAAATACCAGTGAAGAGGCTTCGTGAGGTAGTTTCTCCAAATCAGGGAGATAATTTGGCTTTGCTGAAAGAGCAGTCGTCCTGTGTTCCTCCAGCGTTGTCTGCAAATAAACGTCTTCCTTTTAGAACGGGAAATAGCTTGAATGGAACGTTACGTGGTATGTGATGCCAAATAGTGTTTCCAGTTTTCATGTTTGAAATCTTTAATATTTATTTTCATTTAGTTTTTTCTGTGTTTCAAAATTTAGAGGATTTTTAATGTATGTCTAGTTTGTACAGATGTGTGAAACTCACCATTTTCCCTGGGAAAATGGCCAGGCACAATCCGCATCTAATAGTATCGGACAGATGTAATGAATGAAACTTGAACATTTCCTATTGTGCTTTTTCTTTGTGTGGCTTTTGTACACTGTTCATATTCACATTTGTGATAGACACACTTTACTTGAATGCTGAGCTTATTTTTATCACTAGGGCTTTTTACCAAATACCCTACCTTGTGTTTGAATTATGATATCCAGTTTGGCACAGTAGAAAAGTACAACTTAGCCATTTGATGGCTTCCACGTTCCAATTCACTTAACCTGTCAGGAGATCTGTGAAAAGGAAGATAAGATGTGCTTTACCCAATTCACGGGTAGTTGTTAGAATCAAATTAATGAATATATGTGCAAAAACAAAAATGCTTTTATAATGCTGCTTTGGGGGCGGGGTGGTGGTACATATCATATGCCTCATGTTAAATCCGGCTTTTATATTATGTACATATTTTACTTAGGACAAGTGATTCTGTCCGAGTTAGTCCAAATCTAACAGTGTAATGATATCTTTTAAAACATTTTATATTTATTTCACTTGATTGTCAGTACTGACCCATATTTCCCAAAATACGAGCTGTAAAAACTTTGTTTTCCTAAGTTTTTTTGCATGAAAAATGGCTTCCAATTTAAGTTTGCATTAATATGGACTTTATAGTTCTTGATTCATGCTTGTACAGTTTCTAAATGTAATGTTCTGATTTGAAAATCACTAAAATTGATTTCTTTGTTTTGGTAGGTCCATCAGACTTAGCTTCTGCTAGAAATTATCACCAGCCTCCATTAAAAAATTTCCCTGTGTCAGAAAGTGTAAGCAAAAGATTCTCAATTATGTTCACATTAAAATTTTCAGTATTGTCAAATAATGTGTACTGAAATTATGTTTGATTAGGAACAGGCCTTGTTTTTATTTAAATTTCACTTATGAAGAAAAATGTCTGATATACAGCAGTTGTGACTTAGTGTTTGAGACATTAACCAGAAGGCCTTCCATAGAATCAAAAATACACATCAGTAAGATAATGACCACAGAGAGAAATACTATAACTGAAAAAAAAGAAAGCTGTTGTTGTTTAAGGAAAAGATAGTCTGAACCAGAGAACTTATATAAAGGTAAAGGAATGGTAACAACATGAGGTATGATTATACATCATACAAACTATTATGAGGTCTTTTATGGGGGTTTTTTAGAGGTCTTTAAGAAACAAAAACATTAAATTCTCATGTTAATTTCTTTACTTATAATGCTGAAAATGTTTGATGATACATACAATGTTTTGATGATACAGTATAATTAGACTGACCACTAATCATAATGCTGACATAAATATTATCAACTTATCAAGTCTATAAAGAAGAGAGTTTCACAATATTTTGAAAATTGAAGCTGATAAACTAAGAATTAAAATGAAACTTCTGTCAATTTTATCAAACACTCAGAGTAAAAATATATAATTATGTGTTGTACTTGGTCCCTGAGTTGGTGGTTAGCCTTGGAGTTGGTGTTTTTGGTTTCTTTTTTGAGCAGGCCTTAGTTAATTGTTAATGCTGTTTGAATTTTATTATCTAAATAATTTTCCACATGTATGGATAGACTGGTAATATATATTTGTGGATAAATGGATGTCATTTGTCCTGAAGATGATCAGGCAGGATTCTGGTACATTTCACATGGGCTCACAGCATGTTTTGTGTAGATTTGTCTAATGTGAAATACGCCTGCAAAACAAACCTAGCTCATTATCATTTTGACATGAACACAGATGGCAGTCTCTTTGCATCATGTTTTTGTTCATAAATGAGTACTAAGATTACAGTGTGGATTGAGTTGGCCATGCTATTTTAATGAGAAAATGTGATATGTTCACATTTATAAATGCTCCTATTAACACCTATTTCTCCCTATTCCCAGAAGATAAGGTATTTCTTTTCCTGTTTGGAGCTATTCTTATACATGTATAGAAGGAAAATAAAGACTGAAAAAAAATTCATTGCAGAATATGCAAAAATAAAAAAAATTCCAACACTTAAAATCAACAACTGTTAACATTTTGAAGGGTTTTTTTTCTGTGTGTGGATATATATTATGAAATGGGACCATCCTGTTTTATAACTAAGTAGTATTAAGGATATTTTTTCTAACTAAGTAGTTTTAGGGATAT